ATCAGTTGCTGGTCTGCAAGCTTTCAAACCAAAATCCTTTTATCTTCCAATCTTCGGCGAACTGTCCATACACTTACATTTGCACCTCGAACCTCTTGGAGTTCGATTCCTTGACTGCACTGATGTTATGTGACGATCCCAAGATATCTGTCATCAGTAGCAGTAGGTTTTCGTTTTCTGCCACAACCTGCCCTTCGCTTATTTTCGTCAGTCTGTCTTGAACGTTCGATTACTCTTTTGATGGTAGAACGATGAACATGAAGTATGCTTGCAACATATTCATAATTGAAGGGGTAAGTGGAAAAAGGATTAATGTTACAAATATAAGTTCGTGAGAAAAATAGGTTTTCGTAAAGTTAGCTGGGGCATTTTTCAATGGAAGCTAGTTTAATGATTTGATACATGCAATTGAGAGAAATAGTTTTGGGTTGTTCTTCATGATTTACCACATTTTGCTATCATATAATTTTTTGCAGGAGTATAGGACAACAATATAAGTCTTACGGAGAAAATCACTGTCAATTTGACATAAGGACAACAACGATCGAAGCCACCTCGTCTATAAATAACATTTCTTACAGTAAACTGACGAATTGATTTCGCTCTTGAAAATGAACAAGTGCTTTCAAAGACATGAAAACAGTCGGAATGTAGAAAGGGAATGGTTCATAACGAAAAATATTATTTTGAAAGAATTTGGTAACGAAATTATTCCACAGGGTGTTTTGAAAATAGGGTAACACAACAATTCAATTAACCCTGTATAATGACTAAACCACCAGCATTTAACGAAATATTGGATATACAAGTTGAACATATTCATGAGACTTTAAATTTGACCGAATATTGACTCGTTGAGTTTTTTTGCATCTGAGTGTAGATTGATTTTGCTGCACGAACTTTATTAGATCCAAATAGAATATTGCATTGTTCAAAATCTGCCTGGCACAAATAGAGATTTATCTATCAGAAATATGTCGTACTGATTTGTATCGAATAGGTTGACTGATTTACAATACTAGGATGAATAAATGTAAAAAGCTCAAAGTCATTTCCACACAGTGTTCATGAATTGAACAACAATGGTAGATTTCGGCAGAAAAACAACTACTTCCCTGGCTAATGCCACGCAGGATATTGAATTACATCCTCCCGAAATCTATGCATCGACTCGTATAAACGAATACTGATACAAGTGATTCTTTCCTGAATGATTTCGATTAAGCCAGGCCGCTAGACAACCACAGACCGGTTTCGAGCTCTTTGACTCTCATCACTGCAGTGTAGTCTCCAGCTATCAGTCCTAAGACCGCCGACTCAGCAAAGCCTAGCCAAACAAAAATCAAGTTGGCATTACATCCACCCCGAGGCGTCTTTCATCGACAAATTGAAAGTAACGCCATCTGAGTAGGGAAGTAGTTGTTTTCCTCCCGAAATCTACCATTGTTTTTCAATTTATGAACACTGTGTGGAAATGACTTTGAGCTTTTTGCATTTATTTAACATTTCATTCCACTTTGAGCATTGTGGCAATTTCGTAGTTGAATACTAGGATAGTTTGTAACTACTAATATATCGTATAATAGCTGCTGGAAATTTATATGAATTATTCTAGATAGATTAGTTCATTGGCATGAATCGAATTTTCAACAGTTTCAGTAGGGTCGTGTGTATTGTGTATCGGTCTGATATTCTTGAAGAAAACCTATGTTTGAATGAGGTTAAATTTCGCCTATTTATTGAAAAATCCAGGTAGGACACTGAAATAAAAATCATAAGCAATTATCATGATGGAGAGAAATAATTCAAAGAATAATTGAATAATATTGGTTTGATTGATTTGATTTTTGATTTGATTTTGATTTATTGATTCGTTCGATTTAACAAGATACTTAGATATATTAACAATTTATAACAGTTATCCTTTATTATCCCAAGGGTTCACCTAAGCACTTGAGGCGCTTGTTTTGTGCAGCCCATTGGAATAATTCAGGATTTTCATTAGGTAATTAAAATGAATGGTAATCATATTATACATATTAATGTACTAGTCTCAATGAAAATATATATTACTATCAAATAGATGGAATTCTTGTTGGATTTGATCGAAAATTCAATTAATGATTGTTTGGGATTATTTCTACTTTTTTTTTTTTTTTTTTTTTTTTTTTTTTTTTTTTTTTTTTTTTTTTTATCTTACATGTCAATCTCGTAGTGGTTGATGTGGCAGGGATCCATGTCTTCATTCGCATATATTCATATATTACACGATGAGGTTCGTTCATATATGCTTATATACATACACACGTTTAAACATATATGTATATTTTCATCCAGAGACACAACTGATTTTTTCATTAATCCTATGTGTATAAATATTTTCATAAAAGATTCACTAGTGTCAGATAGTTAAGGTTGATGAATTGTTTTATACCAGTTTTATATTTATTAAATGAAAGGTTTTCTTTCAAACTGCGGTCTAGTATATTGTAAAATTTAGGACCAAAATAGAAAATTGTTCGTTGTGTATGAGTTTTTTTAAAAATGGGAATCATTACATTCAAATTTTCGGTAGATCTAGTATTTTTTATCTTTTCGCTATAGTAAAAATATTTATTATTATACATCCATATAAGACAGTGATAAATATAAATACATCTTATGTTATACAAATTGGTTTCTTTATAGAGCTGTTCTGTTGAGTACAGTTTTTTTTTCTTAAGAATTATTTTAATTAAAGTATTTTGCATAGCTTGGAGACTGTACAGGTTGCAGTCAAATATACCACCCCACACGGAAATACAATACCTAATCACTGATTCTGCTAAAGATCTGTATACCGTCATTAGATTTTTTGTGTTCAGAGTTTCTCTCAAGTTGTACATTTTGTGAGTGAGCTGGCGGAGTCGCTTTGTAACATATAGGGCATGTTCGTCCCATCTCATATGCTGATCCAGGACTACACCAAGATATTTTAATTTTGATTCTTTTTTTATCGAAGGGCAATCACATTGATTTATTTGTGGACATTCAGAGGCATGTATTTTTATGGCATTTTCCATTGGTTGATCGTTTTTAAGAAGTGTGAAACAAACGAATTTGGTTTTATTCAGATTCAAACTGAGGAGATTATAGTTCAGCCATATCTGGACATCCTTCAAGCCCTTTGCTGCTGTTTGATATACTTGTTGCCATGTTTTGCCAGAAAAAATAATCACCGTGTCGTCTGCATATGAAATGAGATTGTCAACAGATCTTACACAACCAATACTATTTATATAAACTAAAAATTAAATCGGCCCCAAAACCGTGCCTTGTGGAACACCAATTGTGATTTCATTTGAGGAACTAAGTTCACTACCAATTCTGACAGTTTGTTTCCTGTGTGATAAATAATTTTGCAAAATGTTTAACGCTGGGCCACGAATACCGTACCTATGTAGTTTGTCCATTAGTTCGTCATGTGCTACCGTATCAAAAGCTTTAGCCAAGTCTAAAAAAACTGCAAGGCACTTGTCGGAATTTTCCAGAGAGTCAGTTACGGTTTTCGTAAAGTGAATGACAGCTTTTTCAGTGTTCGAGTTACTAATGAAACCAAATTGTTTTTTTGTTATCACATTATGAAATTCGAAAAAATTAACTAATCTATTTTTTAAGGTATGTTCAAAAATTTTTGCAAAATTACTTATTACAGAGATGGGTCGGTAATTCTGAAATTTGTTTTTACTCCCTGCTTTATGAACTGGAGTTACTACTGATTCCTTCCATTGCACTGGAATATTACCCGTTTTGAATATTTTATTTATTATATTTACTAAGGCAATTGCAATGTACTGATAAATAATTTTTACTAGCTTCGCTGGTATCTCGTCTGGCCCTGGAGCACAATTACTTTTTATGTTGGAGACAATGTTGAATATTTCGATTTCAGTTACTGATTCTAACAGTATCGTAGGCCCTACAGATTTGTCATTCAAAAAGTTTTCCGGAAGGTTATCAGGCTTATTGATAGTTTTAGCCATCTCTTTTCCGACGTTTACAAAATAATCGTTGAATGCGTTGGCCTTGGATTAATGTAATAACTTCTCCTACACCGATTATGCTGTTGTGTTGCGAGTTGAATATGGTGAGCTGAATGATACTCAGGCTGTTGGTTAATTTGGTTTATTCCAAGGTCAAGTCCAATCTTGATGATGATGAAGTCTTGGAGACACCTACATAAAAATTTGGAGTCAAATCGAATTTTAATTGTTTCCTCAAAAACTAGGCTAGATATAAAAATCACACAGAAGATAGAGAAGTTGTTATTCCAATAATTCAATCTAATAAAAATACGAAACTCAGAAAAACAGGTGGTGTACAATGACATTCACCATGAATATCGATAAATTTTCCCACTGTGACGCCACTGGAAATATTATTTCGAATCTAATTGCACTAGAAGAAGCTCCATATCACTATTCACGAAACCACAACTTTTTATTGAAATTGATGGAAAGACAACTGAGAAATGCATAGAAAAAATATTTTTGATGGAAATATCTCGAAAACGGAGCAAATTAGGACACATCGTCAGCTGAGAATTATAGTGTTCTATATCCAATTTTTGACTATAATGAGCTACGTACACGAAAAAATTTAAAAAAAAAATCATTTGTTCTATATCCACAGAAAGTAAGGCAATGTTTTGTTCCATATTCATTATTCAAGTAAATTATCGTGCTGTATCCTACGCATTCCAGTTGAATTGTATTATTATTGTAGTCGATATTCAGCGGTAGATTTTATACTATATCCATCTGTTCTATATCCTACTCATTCAATAATTCACAGTTTGGTGTAAATTCTTATGCTACATCCGGCAAAGTCCGTCAATTTTTGTGCTATATCCCTAAATAGGTTATTGTTTCGTACTCCACGTGATTGTGAACAAGCTAGACCTTTCTGGCTGTTGAAATATCCGAAATTCTTAGTTTCTGATATTGATAAAAATCATGAACATGAGTGAAACATCTTCCGATCCTCCAGAAAAACCGTCCGAGTGTCCAACTGAAGTATGGCAGTAAGTCACTTTAATATTATGATCATAATGATTGATTTAACCTCACTTATGGTGACTGCTCTAGAATACAGTAGTTATGGTTTCAATTAGCATACAGGGCGATCGAATATCATTGTTGGCACTATTATATTATATAAGTGTAGAAGTAAGCTAATGTTCGTTTTCTCTTGGTTTCAGGGAAATGAAGATGTGTATAGAGCTACTTCTGATGACGTGCAACCGTCTCATTTCGACATAGAAAATATGAAAATTTTGTTTGTACAAGACAATACAAATTTTGATCCTCCTGATGAAGGCAAGAAACTAGATGATGCAATGCAAACTGTAGAAATTCCACAAGATTTTGATCATATTCTCCAGATACCAGATGGGGAAGATAAAAAACGAACAGAAAACGGAAAGCTGATCAAAGTAAGTGGAAGCAAAATATAAGGCAACAAATACGTCATCTTAAAGGAAGGTTGAAGGAAAAAAATGTGTTAAAGATTCGACTTGTCACTCTTCAAAATGTTATTTCGATTGTTCCAAGAAATTAACAATGGACGAACGAAGAACAATTCATGAACAATTCTGGAAGTTAATGGATAAATTGAAATCTCATTTTTATTCTGAATACGTGAAGTGTGCTCTTGCAAGGAGGAAACGTACAACTAGTGAAACCAGCAGGAAATCTTCGACGTATGAGTATCATTCTGAGATTAATGGTGTGAGGCTAAGAGTTTGTCAGGAATTTTTTCTGAATACGTTGAACATAAGCAAGCAACGAATATATTATTCTTTCAAGAGGGTGCAGAATTCAAACACAAATGTACCCAGACATTTACTTAAAGGAAAACATATCAAGAAAAAGATATCAGATGGAAGAAGAAATGTAGTGAGGCGTCATATCGAAAGTTTTACACCCATAGAATCGCATTTCTGCAGATCATCATAAAAAAAAAATACTTAGAATGAGATCTCAATCTCACCAAAATGTATAATTTATACTTGCCATTGAGTAAAGATCCTGTATCCTTCGAAATTTATTCTGAAATAATCGATTACGAATATAAAATATCTTTTTTCAAACCAAAAAAAGATCTATGTGATCGATGTGAAGAATATGGAAATATCAGGAATCCAACAGAAGAACAGAAGACTCGACAAATGGACCATATGAAAATGAAAAGAATTGGAGATGCACAAAGAGAATTAGACCGCTCAAGGTATAAGAGTGCCAATAATGCAGACCAAACCACTTCTGTTTTTAACTTTCGACTTGCAAAATACCTTTGCCCTACCTAAAGCCTACATTGGTCACTATTATTATAAGCAGAAGTTGAGTTGTTATAATTTGACAGGATATTGTAGTCTCAACAACACAGTTTACAATGCTATTCGGCACGAGTACATTTGTGGAAGAGCTAGAACGCACATTGCCAATGCAATAGTGAAAATTTTGAAAGCTGTGATATGTGATAATCTCAACTTGAAAAAAGTCATCCTATGGTCTGACAGTTGTGTGCCGCAAAATCGTAATTCGATTTTTCCATTTGCTATGCAAAATTTTCTCAACTCTGAAGATTCGGGAAATTTGGAATTGATAGAACACAAGTACAGTGAGCCAGGCCATGGAAATCTCCAAGGAATAGATTGTGCTCACAGCTGTATCGAGCGTTTCATAAAACATTTGGAAATTTGGTCACCTCTAACACTAATTAGAATACTGATTCACATGCCTACAACATGGAGAAAAAAATTCAAAGTTATGCAAATGCAACTTTCGAATTATATGGATTATCAAAAGAGCTCGTCTCTACTCAACTACCAAGTACTACCCTATTCTAAAGTTAAACGTATAGTTTACGACAAAAACTCCATCATGAATATAAAATTCAGTGAATCATTCGAGGGAAATTTGAAGAAGATTAAAGTTATACCAAAAAAGAATACAAGAAGGGATCGAATCACAACCGAAAACACAATGTTAACAGTCAATCGATTAACAGACCTTAATATTGGTTTGACAGAAGAAAAAAAGAAAGCAATAACAGAAATGTTACTTCGGATGCCTGAGATAGAACGTGAGTTTTATCATGCCATATTATCAAAGCCTGCCAAGAAGAAGGAAATGAAGAAAAGAAAAATAATGCATCCCAAGATAGAAAAGTTTTCCTATTTCCCATTTCATTTTGTTTTCCTCATTAGAGCTGCAATGGATTTGAATTGATTGTGCCTGAATAAAAGTTACATAAAGATGAAGACATGTTTTATTTGAGGCTATATCCACCATTTATTCAAAAAGACACTTTCCGTGTTCTATATCCAAGAGCAAGGTCACAATAAATTGAATATAGGTAACTTTCTGATTGAATTCCTTTATCACTTTTGAATTCTTCACATTCAGAACATTTTACCACTTTCAACTATATTGATAGCTAACAGTTATTCACTCATATTGATGGCCTCATTCTGAACTTTAAAATTGTCCTATCTCAAAACTATGAATTTGGGATTCAGAACAATATAATTATCAGTTGACGACATATTTATATAGAATTTAGTTCCTAAAATACCACAAGAAATCCCCCCTGAAATTTTTTCGGTGTTATTCAGATATATATTTATCCATTTTTTCATGTTCATAATTTGATCTGAGAATGTCCCTTTTTCAACACAGAATTGATGATGGGTTGTACAGGTCTTGTGGCTAGATCCCCGATTTTGCCGGGGTCCTCATAGTTTTATACAAAACGCTTATTCGTCACAGAAGCGTCGCCATCTAGACATCGATTTTGATCAATAAAATAAAGATTACAGTTTCCACCAATCAAATGAGAAACATTCTGACAACATTTATAATTCACATAGTTTTTTGTGTTGGTCAGCAATCTAGATATCGAATAATTGGAACATATAGTATTCAGCAGAAATGAAATATGACACCTACCTTTAATCTTTCGTAAAAAGTGTTTAATCTAGTTCCTTGGTACAACTTAGGGGTATTGCGGGGCAATGCGAGGCAGTGTGTGGCATTGCGGGGCAATGCTAGGCAGTGTGTGGCATTGCGGGGCAATGAGAGGCATTGTCGGGCACTGCAGGGTATTGATGGGCATTGCGAGGTATTGTGAGGCATTGTTAGGCAATGCGGGGTATTGAAATTGCACTGAAAGGGCAATGTCGAGCAATGTTTGGGCTTAATTTGTTGCGCGCGCATCCGTTTCTGTTCGAGGTCACTATATGCAGTTCTATGGTTCAAGGTGATGCCTCCGCCTACATTTTGATTGCGCCATTCAAGCGTTTCGCATCGCGGCATGCTGTCATCAACTCCGGCTACAGCTAGCTTTGGATTGGATTGGAATTGGATTTAACCGAATATTCGACTGAAAACTACGATATAAATGAGAAGAATCCATATGTGAAAGTCACTTTGAAAAATTATAATATGTTTATGATAAAAAATCATCATTATGCTGGCTTCTAAGTGGGGGGGAGGGACGGATCAGTATCGCATACAGCGTTTCAATTCTATATCCTAGATCTGTCCAAAAAAGAAAGTCGAAAATACCTGCTGACAATTCAAAAACTAAGAAAAAGAAAACTGAATGTATCGGAGATTCTTCTTCAGAAGAAAATGAACCGGATATCGTTTCAGACGATTCTTCAGATGTGGAGTCATTCTACTCTTTGGGAGAAGATCGAGAAGAAGATAGGATGATGAAAAAACTTGACGTTTTCGATCCTGAAATAGACAAAAAACCGTGAGCTGAAATCTAATATTTTTCCCGTGTATAATACACTGAGAGAAAACTTGAGTTATCATAATTGGAAATCTGATAACCGTTATTACGATATCTGCAATAAATAGGGGACATATTTGTTCATTTGCTACCATAGATGAAGTGAATTTTCAGGTGACTTGTAGTTATGGCAGCTTATTCAATTTGCAAACTTGTATGAACACACCGCTGCTGAATAACTACTACTTGTTCTAGTTTCTATGATAACACAGAATGTCAAATAGGAATTATTCCCATAAAATGTTGCAGTAACTCTCCACTCTACAGTGGTTATTAGACTATCGACATAAAACAGCATGTTTTTATTACTGGCACAACCATCTTGAGGTAACGCACTAATTTGTCTCATTTTATTATAGTTATCTGATATCTGCATGAAACCTGACATTTTGACATGCTTTTGTAATATAGCTCATTTTCAACAGTTATCCCAATATTTTTCTACTCTAGTATATTCATCGAACAGTGGTAATAAGGTTATCTAATCAACATTATTCGATGCTATGCATTATGAAACCGTGCTTTGAATTACTGCAATGAAAATAAATATCCTATCCACACTATCACTTTTCAAGATCCAAAGTTATTGGTTTCAAAAAAAACAAAAAAATACGTTTAGTCTCTGAATTGGAATATTTGGGTATCTGTGGGAGTTTTTTGACATTACTCATTGATTTTAACGAAGAAATATCATCTATATATGCATTACTGACGAATTTATTAAGAAATGAGAAGTTGAATACTTATATTTACCCTTCCTTCGGAGTTATGATGAGAATTGTCAATAAAACTTCCCTCACAGAAACCCATATATTTTGATTCATAATCTCATCGATCATTTTGTTTTTGAAATAAACCAAGTTTAGGCCGTGAAGAGTGGTTATGGAGAATACTTTTTTCATTGCAATAATGCAATGCACGGTGTATTCCACAGATCGGTTCACAGCCAGCACTAAAACAAAACTTTGCTACATCACAGACATTCACCTACAAGACACGGCTCTATCGATTCGGACGATCGAAAACATTGAACAATAATTGAACATTCATGACCGAGAACAGCAGTGAAATTAACGCGATCTGTATCTTTGTCAGCCCCAATACTAATGAACACTAGAGCGAAATGAGCCGAATTACGATTGTCGAATGATTGCCTAATAACCGTCACACATGTGAATTGCTAGAGTTATTCGTCAACGTACAATGCTAGAAACCCAAACAGCTATGATTATTGGGACAAACATTAGCTGAATTCACCAATGAGCATAATTCACAGAACGAGCTATGTCAATAAAAAATCTAAATAGACTGGAATTTATAAAATTCTCATAATGTCATAACACACCTGCGTTATGATGGTAGCAAATGTTCATTCAAGGGTATTACAAATGATTTAAGAAATCGATTTTTATAATTACAGAATGGAGAGAATACTGTTGTAATAATAAAATGATCAGGAATAGGATATTTCCATATATAATGGTTATTACAATCAGAGCTGGTAGATATTTTCAATATCCAGTTTCTCTCAGTGTACACTATTTTTTTCTGTGACAGAAGGAAGGACGAATCAATATTGAGAAGATATTACATTATTTCGAAATCTGGAAATTATCGACGTGAAATTTCAAGTTTTTAACAGTAGGGACACCTGCGTTTTATATATAGGCATCTTTATCATTCACTGAGGAAAATTGTGCTATTAGAGTTTTTGCTGAGATATTTCTTGCTACCATTACAAGAAATTATATAACCGTTATACATTTTCGAATAGAAGCAGCACCTTCAAATCCTATGATGGCAATAACGACTTTGCTGAAAGTGATTTTCCTGCCACAGGAAGGTATACTGCTGTAGCTGTCAGGGAGCCACTCTGGGACAGCATGATTTTTTTCATAATTGTCTAGCTGAACTACTACTAGTGAGTTATATGCTTGTGGCTGCGAGGTTCATCGCATAGAACTGCACTCACTTCCAATAATACAACTGTCAGTCTGCCGCGAAAATAATATTTGACGACCCAACTTGGGGTTGTTTAGCGCCTACTCATCGTTATTCGATATTTCGCTGATTTGTCCCCCTCTATGTAAACATTTGTCAGACATCTTGCTTGATCAATCATTCACAGTTGGGCTCTTGATGCAAACCCATGTACAGGACGACAATCTCGACGACACGACAGTTACGAATACTTCCCCTCTTGAATTCGATTCATTATCCAAAATCTGAATCTCAATTCAAATATAAAATGGAAACATTTTCAAACAAATAAAAAAATCTTCTATGCTTCAGTTATTATATCAGGATTGATGAAATGATGAAGGTGAGTTTTTTCAAGGTATTTCGTCTGAAATCCAAATATTTTACATTCAATAACATTTTCCTCTCTTTGGTATCATGAAACTTCAAAATGGTCAAATATGTTTCAGAGCTTCTCTATAGAATCTGGTCTAAAAACTTATTGTGAGCAGAAATGTCCAGGTGATGAAATTATTTGAATGATTTTACTGGTAACATTTTGTTTTCCTGTACGCATCTGTAATAACTTGCCTAGTTTTCGAAATACAATGGCTTCGGAAGGTTTCAGAAAAATTCTTTTTTTCATCAATCACTCAAAAAACCCTTTGGTTTTTCCTGAGGGTGCATGAATCAATTGATCTATTGAATTTCAGAGATCATTGGTACGAAATTTTCTTTAGGAATCAACAAATTGCTATTCATACCAAACATCAGAGTGGAAATTATGGAAAGTGAAAGTGGATATCAGTCAAAATTTCACCTTTCTTGATGACAACAATCCTGGAAAATAACTGAATAACTATATATACAGTAAGAAGGTCATGCAACTATCTATATGATCACCCATCAATAGTAGCAAAGTTCCCTACCTACGATTATAACATTGCCCTACTCCCATTATTAGATGCACTCACTAGCGGTAGCAAAGTCAGATACCTACTACAGAAACATCGTCTAATAGCATCATACAGATGCACTCGCTAGTGACAGCAAGGTTCTATATCTAATAATCGCAGGTGGGTTATAATCAGCAAAGTCGACTTTATAATCACAGGTGATAACTCGCTTGTCCCCCATGCTATTAGAGTTTCTTGCTGGGGTTATTCGATTTCTAACTATGGTTAATAGAAATTTTCCTCAGTGTTCTTTTGAAGTTATCAAATATCTGATGTCACTTCTGTGGTTTGATTTTAAAAAATTGCGAATTCAGTAGTTGTTCAGTAATATACGAAACCGCGAAGTCGAATGGAAGATAAAAGGACTTGCAGTTCTTTCTCGGAGACGGTATCATTGACTCATTTTTCGGAATTATAGCACAACAAAAGCCATTAACAGAGTATATATATGTGTACTCACTTTTTTTCTACGGATAAAAAAAAGTAATTTATGAAAAGTGACATTTTATAACCTGCCAACAGAGATAAAATGCCAAACTTTTTTCCC